TTTGATCAGTGTCTGTATATAAAGTTTTGATCAGTGTCTGTATATAAAGGTTTGATCAGTGTGGGGTTTAAATATTGATAGACACATTTTTGGTGCTGAAGTGATTGGTTGTGGGCGGGGCCTCTGTCTCGGGCGTGAGCGAGCGGCTGGTGGGCGCGCCCGCTGCGACGTTGCCGAGGCTTCAAGATGGCGGAAGCCCTGACAACTCAGGAGCAGCTGGTAAGGGTCTCTCAGCGGATTTTCTCTCATCTCCCCGCAGTGTTCCGTGTGTACAAATGTCATATTCAGTTTCTCCTGTAACCGGGGATTTTTTCCATATATTTGGTCGGGGCGGTTGTTCCCGGGAACGCTGTGCTGTAGTAAACACGACTGGCCCGTTCGCACCCTGACTTCGGTGTGACTGACAGCAGTTAGCATGTGTGTTAGCACGACGGCGTTGGCTAGCAGCTACTAGCACGTTACCGGCTATGTATCTCGAACAGCAATTCCCTGGACTACCCATCTTTAAACGGACCACTCACTTATGCCCCTATCGCTCCAGTTAACCCGCAGTACATCGTTACACACGGTCCGCCCGATACGCGGTGCTTCAAGTGTCTTTAACCCCACCGTTAGCCATCCAGCCACCACATGTAACCTAGCCGCTAGTCGGTGCTAATAGCTATTGTTGACTTCCAGGGAATTTCCTCGACAGCTATCTTGTCCGACGGTAAAAAGTACATTTAATCAGGTATAGAGGTTAAAAATGACCTGTCTTGAATTCCTAATGTAGTTACGGACTGTGACACAGTGAAGACAGAATAGGATCATGAGGCTCAGCGCGATGAGCCCACCAGCTAGCTATCAGATTTACGGTCGAGAATTCACGGAACTCAGGCTCCGGTTCCTAGCATTGTTGTTGCCACCACTTAGTAGTATAGAGGAGGGCTTGACATTGACAGGAAGCAGCAAATGTAGCACCACGATTCTGGAGCTTACTTCACTTTTATGGTTGCTCGGTCTTCATCCTAAGTTTCACTGATCATCAGGCTGAGTAACGGGACAGGCGCACAATCCCCCACCCCCACTTTTCTCGATTTGTTTCTTGATGGCTAAACATTCCCACACTCAGTCTCCTTAATCGATCCTCTGCCCTGACGCCACTTGGAGGAGAACACATTCGTCTTGCTGATTAGTTGCCTTGTCTTTGTACGATCCCACCACCATGGCTTGCATCTGTATCCAGGCGCTGATGTCCTGTTACTGGTGGAGACATAAAAGTGCAGTATATGTACCACTGTCCTTCATTTACCAGGTTGTCCATGATATAAGGGCGTGATTTAATGGTACCACCTCACTTACCCTGCACCAAATATAAACAATTTATTCCACTTTAAATCCAATTGAATCCTTGTTTTAGAAACGTGATCGACATGTTTTTCTTGTGAAATCATGTGGTGCATTAATACAACTTACAAGAGATGGTATATTGCTACTATTGGATCAAAGTTTAATACGTGATAAGAAATATACTAAACTTTAGGCGTATTAGTGGCACTACATTGGGCAGTTCCAAATTTAATGGAGTAATCTGTATCTATCTGACTGCAACATGAGTCCAGTCACAACATTGACACTGGTATGTTCTTAGCACATACAGTAGGTTTGGCAGTATCACAGATTCAGAGTCGCAAATATTTCAGTTGTTATGACTTGTGAAAGGTATGTGTGTAGAATTTTGTGATATCTAGTGTTGAAATTGCATGTTGCAGCTGAACACCCCTCACCTCACCCTCCCAAAAGTGAAAAAGAAACTGTGGTAGCCTTTAGTTTTCATAAAAACTCAAAAGGTGTTTAGTTTGTCCAGTCTGGACTAATGTAAAAAACATGGCGGCCTCTGTAGAGAGGACCCCTTGATGTAAATATAAAGTATTTAAATATAAAGGGCCTTTTCTGGGATAAAGAAAACTACAATTCATACAATTTAGATGGAAATGAACTAGTGAAAACATCATGAGGATTATTCTCCATTGAATATCTGCCAATAGATCCCTTTCACCTAAATCTTACAAACTGGACCTTTAAATGACAAAGTCTATCTATATAATCTGTCTCTATATATATGTATCTATAAAACGTAGGCCTAAGGGAGCAGAGTTCCTACTTCACACAGAAGATGCTATATATTTAATGAATGTGCCTATTGTCATATGTATCCATCATCTAATAACTAAACTGGTCATGAGATGCATCAGGATGACTCACGTCTGCCAAACCACTAACATGGAAACCCTGTATTGGGATTGATTACATTATCCACTTTTTTATTTCCCGTCCTGTGAGAGAGTCCATTCAGGTGTTGTGTGTAGTGGATGAGGTAATCTGTGATACCCATTCATGTGCTCTCCTCCTGCTGGTTTTATATTTGGAGGTGCATTTCACTTGTGCGGAAACAAACAGACTGTTGTCTCCTGGCATTTGAGTGCTCTCATCAACTACATCTTTCAAGGGGACAGTCTGCTTACGTCTGTATCTCAAGTATTACAAACCTGAAGGGGGTGACAGTTGTGTGTCTCTTTCTGTCAGTTGTCCTCATCATCTATCAGTCTTTCTTTCCTGTTTCTCAACTCCCTAAATTCCAAGCTTTCTATTAGTCCCTCCTCCTTTGAGTATTTCTCCTTAAGGTTGCCTGCTCTAACCTCTCCTCTCACACAGACACCTCACCTTTTCTCTTCATCTCCTCCCTCACGTCTGGTCAGGCCGTGGAGGAGTTCCTGAGTGAAGTGCGTAGCAGGGAGCAGCCTCACAGTGCCGGGCTTGTCTCTCAACCTACAGCTGTAAAGTTTCTTATGGCCCGCAAGTTTGACGTCTCCAGAGCTATCGACCTCTTCCAAGCATACAAGGTACAGCATTGTATTTGATTGATGGCACAAGTGAAAAGACTTTATTTCTCATATAAACATGACAAAAGGCTAAAATAGAAATAATCAGTAAAAAAATATGAAATTGCAATTTTTCCAAGCAGTGTTGCAATTACAAGAAATGTCTTCACCACCAAATAAGATCCAGGCTCATCTGCTGATGTGCACAGTATACATATATAATACATTTGTAAAAAAAAAAATAGAAGCAATCAGAGTTGCAGGTACTTGTTTTCATTATTTATAGCTCCCTTTCCCTTTTCAATATTAAAAAATAATCATATTAAAGTGGCATTATTTTCATTGACAGTTAGTTTTCCACCTGACAGTGTAAAGTTTTGTAGCGTGGCTGACGACCCTCCAGGATGTTTTGAAGACTGCACTGTAGCAGTCAAAGCTATGTCCTGTCATAATGCGTCATAACTTGTTATTCAGTGAGACAGTT